AGAAAAGGCCACAATGAATGAATAGAAACCCTAAGTCTCTGTAAACTTTCATTAAAATTAATTTAAAAAAAAAGAAAAAAAATACCACAGAAGACAAATAATCAAAGGGGGGGGGAAGAAAAATAGCTGTCAGCTTCGATAAAATTGTCATAATTCACTATCATTGGGCTACTTATTAATCCTGAGGGAGATAATAATGTTTCGGGACAATATTGAACCTCATATTTTGAGAAAATACTGAGCCTCATATTCGAGAAGGATGGGCAATCTCCTCTCATCATTTTTAGCCTATGAAAACTCACTTAAGGATCAGCAATGGGTCAGTTCCAACTTGATAGTATACAACTCGATGGTACAGAACAACAACACTCTGACAAAACAAAGGCTTGTTACTATTCAATTCTGTTCTTCTACCCACAGTGGACTTTAATGTATGGATTAAAGCTAAAATAACTACACACAAGAAATAGAAATCTAAAATTAAATATTTAATTAGAACTCTGATTTGCTTTAAAGATAGGTGGCATTGCACAGGCTATATTACACTTTCTTTATAATTTTTGTGACAAAAAAGATACTGTTCATTTTAACAGGCCACTTTAATATTAATACATGTGTAATAGGATTGGAACTGAAAATCAGCTAGAGATGGTACATTTTACATTATTGGGAAAATTACAGTTTTGTATGTAAAAACATTTATTTTTTAACAATTTACCTACATTAATCAAAAAATTACAGCATATTTAATAATTTTACAAATTCTTCATAAAAAATATATCTCTGTACAAAAAGGTCTTTTGCACCTACTTCATGTCAGCAGCATGTGGTGAAATGGCAAGATGGGAGTGTGGGAATGATGATGGGTTGACCTGATCATAATGCCAGCATTCTTATTTCCCCCTTTTTATAATAGCTTTTTTCTTGTTGTTGTTTACAAAATATTTTACAGAAGAAAAAAATTATTGCAGCTAGCCTGAACTGAAGAAAGGCAAGATGTGTGAAACAAGCAGCAGTTTTAAACAGCTTTGAAGCACATAACCTGTTGGTTTTTGTTGGTAGTTTTTTATTTCGTTTTTAGCATGTGGTTATTTCCCCTCACACGTGTTCGGTTGCCTTCAGGGAAGAGTCTTCTAAGACCTAACTCAGTGAGCACATTTCCTGACTGCCTTAATAAGATCCTTCCAACACCTCACAGGAGATTTGAGTAAATACTGCACACACCTTATGAATAAACTAGGCAGAATTCTCACAAGAGAATTTCATTGATTTTTTAAATAACATGCTCCAAACTGGCAACCAAAGGATAGATTGCACACAAAAGAAAAGAGTACCTAATCTGATATGTGGTTTCTTGTATGTAAGTACCTCCTGTTATTTCAGGATTTTGTATTGTCATTGACCAGCTAGCAGGCCAGGGATGTGGGGACAGAGACATTAATTCAGACTCTGAAGTCAGCATTTTGCACCTAGTTTGAATGACTCAAACTTAGATATGTACAATATATATATATGTATATATATACACCTAATATATATATATAGTAACCCTGTTCTCCCTTGCACACAATGATCCTCAAACTTTTTATAGTCTGTTAGTTTTAGTTGAGTGTGTGTTTTAGGAGCTTGGCCCCTGCTGACCTCAACTAGTCTACTGGAAGGAAAGAAAGAAAAAAAAAAAAGCTAGGCATTGATTCCAGTTTGCAAAGCATATATATAGAAATGATGTCTGGTTGGCGTGGGAAAAATATACAAATAATTCAGCCTGACTATCTGGAATTAATTTCTAAAAGGAAAAACAAAATGAAAACAAACAAACAAAAACCATCTAGAAGAGGTCAGATATCCCTTCTAATAGCTTATGCACCTTTAAAGTGAGGAACAGAACAGTCAGGAACTAAGTAAGAAGATTTACTAAAATGTCAAATCAAAATGTATGACTTATAGAAGAAAGAGCTATTATCCTGGCATTCTTTTTTTCCTTTTTTATATTTCACTTCTGGAGTTCTGCATTTAAACAAGCATTAGACAAACAAATAAACCAGTCTTAAAGCTGACTGAGAATATGCTTGCTGTAACAAAGTGAAGGCCAATTTTAAGGTACTGATATTTCTATTCCTGCCAATCAGAAAAATAAAAATGGGATTATTTTGATCTGTGTAATATGTACTTTAAAATAAAATAGTAAAATAAAACTTATCTTCTTAAAATATTTTATCAAAGAAGTATAAATAAAAATAAGCATTTTAACTCACATTTGCTTCATCAGCATTCTCAGTACCACATCTTCTATTTGATTTACTCTACTGTGGGGACCATATATATTTTATCTATATGTAAGTCATAGTATACTAATTTTTAATGAATTTTATAGTTTCAAAATATATCACTAAAATTATTCTCCTATCTAGATGTATAAAGCATGAAACATAAGACAAATTAGTATAGAAAATATGGCATTAGGAGTGTAGAGTATAATTTTTCTCTTTCGTCAGAGGAAACCTGGGTGTTCTGAAACTGAACAATTTCCACTGAGTTCCAGGTGCTAATTGTAGAATAGTATCTTTTTATGCAATATCATAAAATGATGGCACCTCAAAGAAAAATATGGTAACAGTGTAAAAGGGAAACTTGTAGCATAAGTTGCAACTCACATGTATGTGAGTTATCAAATAAATTACTATTCACATTTTTACATGACAAATAGCAACTGCTGCAAACACCCTGCTGTTAAGTAGTACAACATTGACAATAATTGTGTGACAATAGTACCGAAGGAAGAAAAGATGGGAAATAAAAAAAGGCCTTGTCTTTTTTTTCCACATTGGACATTTTCAATGATTTCAACACATAAATGCAGCTAACGGAAACATTAACATAATAAACCTTTTCAGTAACATACTTCCATTGAAACCTGTGCCATTACCTGGGGATTTTTTTCCCTATACACACCAACTAAACTGATGGTGGAATGTTTACCTTGACAATATGAGACGTGAGTATATACAATTGATAGTGTGTATAAACCCTGTGTAAATAGTATTTTTTTTATCAGAATCTACTCAGTCATTCATAACACACTAGTGCAAAAAATTGTGCATCAAAAATTCTGCAATAGAAGAGCTGACTGGGAAATTTGCAAATGGCCCTAGGAATGGACACTGAGATGAACTGAGAGTTTCCCAAAGGTTGTAAGGTTTGGGGGATGACATAGTAAAGCATTTGTAGGTGTGTGCATCATCTATCAGAAAACAGTGTTTCTTCAAGAAAAAAAATTTTTTTCCAGATTATTCATGTCCATGGGGGTTAAAAAACAAAAGAAAGTAAAACATATTGTGGTGCTACCGTTTTGTCAATGCACCCACAGGATGTATCCAAGTGCCCAGAAGATTGCATTGAAAGGCATCCCAGCCACACAAAATATGAAAGTCTGAGGCATTGAGTATGACATATTGGCATGACTTGGCCATCTTCCTTAAATGTGTTTGATGTCAAGCAGATGCAGCCAGGCATTTTGAATCCACTTTCAGGACGAAAATGCATTTGTAGTTTGATCCTCAGAAGACTCTGGCACACTTGACTAGAAATTTTCGCTGCATGTATGCCGGTAGATGATGTTAAAGGTCGCTGCAGCAAAGCCAAGAATAGAAGGGAGAGTGGTATATGGCACCAAAGGAATTACTGCTTGTCCATCAGAGGTATGGCTATGAATCAGTCCTATTGGGGCACTGAGGGCTATACCACTGTACAAACTGTGTTCAGAGTTGTGTCAAACCTCACAGCCTTTGCTTCTGTGGGTTTTAAGTTTGTATCATACATGGGGTTTTCAAATGAAGCTTGTCCATTACTGTTTTCATGTCCAGCATAGCCATTGTACTGAACTTTTGGTCTTGTTCTAAAGTGTAAAGAAGAAACAAATAGTTAGAATCCTGACTTCTGTAAAAGAAATGTAACAGGTGAATTTTTTACACAGATCTGACATAATTTTAAATAAGCACAACATAACAGATAAGAGTATTGACTGTCATTGACAGATTGTATACACATACATATCTCCCTCTTTCCCTTTGCCTTTAAGTCAATTTTTTAGGGACTGTACATTACAAGAGAGAAAACTACTCATCCTGCAAAGTTCTGGTAGGTTTAAAACATTGTCACCTTTGCGTTAGCAGAGCAACTCTCAATGCATATTACCAATAGAGCTCCCTTATATATGTGTGATTATATATATATATGTGTGTGTGTGTGAATATGTATAGATATATATAGTGTATGTATGGATGTGTGTGTGTGAATATATATATTGATATTTGGAAGCAGGAGTGGCATCTACTTCCTAAATAACATGCCCTCTGGAAACTCTATGAACTTTGATAAATGTCAATAGTTGTAGAGGGTCTTCAGGTATTTTGTTCATAGAGTCACTATGAGTCATGTTGAACTCAAAGGCAGTCAACAACAATAAGAAATATATATAGTGTTTGTGTGTGTGTGTGTGTGTGTGTGTGT